AATGAGAAGATATTGAAGTCAGAACCTCCTAACATTTGCTATATAAAAATACAACTAGATAAAAGACCCATATCTAATTGGCGGAATGGTAATCATATCTCAAATTATATTTTGAATGCAACGGTTCTCATCTTTTTTATATATCATCCGAATCAAAGCTCTTGATATAAAATGAATATGCATCAAGGCATTTTGTGTTTTAGGAAAACCAAAACATAAAAAACAAAAAAAAAAGTGGTTGGATTGTAGGGTCTCATACCCACGTCGAGACTTTATTCTTATCCTTTCAACTAAAGAAAGTCGTTGGATGTTTTTTATTCAGTGAGAAATTTGTGGGGAACATTTCAAGAGAACAACATTTGAATGAACAAGGACCAAGCATTTTGGCTGCTATTTCTTTCACAGATTCATTGTATTACTACAACATTACATTCTGAATACACCGTACTTGGTTTCTTCTGGGTCACGGTTCATAGAAGCAGAGATGGAGAGGCCTATGACTTTTCTTGTGTCGGCCGGATCGATAATTCCATCATCCCATAGCCTTGCTGTGGAGTAATAGGAGTTTCCTTCCCTCTCATATGCCTCCACTACCTTTGCCTTGAATTTTTCCTCTTCTTCCTTGTCCCACTGCAATACATGCACATGACAGATAAATAAGAGAACAGAGTGATTGTTTCTTAAAAGAACCTTGTATCATAGACGTAATTCTAACCTCAATTCCTTTCTTTTTCTTGTTGCCCCTTTCTATTTGAGCAAGGACGCCAGCAGCCTAAGCATTTAAATAAAAATATGTCAATCCATACCTAAGGAAGCTGTTAGTATGCAATTCAGGGAATGAACTATAAGTGCTATGAATTGGATAGAAAAACAGATCTATTGGGATATGCAAAGTCGAGAAGATAATGCAATACGCATAAAATATACTAAAAAACAAATCACACATATGTTGTATGGAAAAGGTCACCTGAGCACCACCCATCACAGATATTCTGGCATTCGGCCAAAGGTACATGAAATCAGGACTGTAAGCACGACCACACATTGCATAATTGCCAGCACCAAA